AGGAGGAGGGCAACCTGGCTCTGCACTGGGCAGCCCGGGAGGGGCACGCGCGGGTGGTGGAGGTGCTGCTGGGCTGCGCCGGCTGCAAGGTGGGCCACCAGAACAAGCGGGGGGCCACCGCCTACGACCTGGCCAAGCTCTACAAGCGAGCCGCCGTGGTGAAGCTCCTGGAGGGCAGCAGTTCCTTCCCCGCCGCCGCGGACTAACCCCGGCTCGGACGCGCTTTCCTCCGGACCTCGGGGCTCTCGGACCCCCCCTCTCCCCCCGCACCCTCTTTTTAGTAACGTTTTGTTGCGACCTTCTGTTTTTCGTTTGTTTGTTTTTTCTTTTTTTCCCCTGAATAATAGAAGTTTCCAGCAACCCCAGAGGTGGGTTTTAGGCGGGGGGAAGGCTTCCAGCCCGCGCTCGCAGGGTGCCTTGCGCCTGTCCTGCACAGGGTCCTCGCACCGCGTCGGCCGCTCGCACCTAGTTTTTCCAGTGTCAAGTTTTACCATTTATTTTAGCTCGTTCCTATTAAGCCGTTCATACAAGAGCTACATATTCACTGCTTAATGTTGCCGGACTTTCAAGAAAAAGTAATGGCTTACTGTGATTTCTCCCACCTCTCGACGCACCCCCCTCCCTTCCCCCCCCCTTCCTTCAGCCAGGCTTAAGATTCTGAACTCCCGTTTTGGGTGAAAGCAGCCTTTTACGGGGTACCCTGCAGCCCCCTGCTCAGGCAGAGCTCGCAGGCGACGGCTGCTCGTCCTGGGGACGGGGGACGGCGCTGGGGGGGCTGTGCGAAATAGCTGCGTTTTGACACTAACGAGAGCTTGTAGAAGTAGGTCGCTTACTTTCTAAATGTAGATGACACTTTTCCCCTTTGTGTATTTAAACTTTCACCAAGCTGGTTTTGAATTTAGTTACCAGAAACAGTACAAATGGTGTTTGTTTGGTTTTTTTTCATTGCCAGAGGTTTTAAACAACTCAGTTTGGTAGTTCGTGTTTACTGTGCGCTGAACGAGACGCTTTGCCCAGTTTCAAAACAAGCAGCAGAGAGGCATTGTCAGAGGCAGGAGGACACAGCGCAGCAGCTTGCTCCGCCAGCCGAGCGCAGCGTAGGTGCTCGGGGAGAAAAATGTGCTTTCCACCCACTGTTCTGTTTTGCCTGGAAATGGCCCATTTTAACGACAGCTGCATCTCACCGAGCAGGAACGTTTGAACGCGGTGACATTTGGGAAGCAGCGCGTTTGGTCTTGGGGAAGTTGTGTTGTTGCTTGCGCCTACAACACATTTTAACCATTGAAAATTTTCCCTTGCAATGTCAGAGCATTCACCGGACTCCTTCACCTCGCCAGCTGCGACGGGAGCTGACGGGGCTCAGCACCGCCTCGGGAAGAGTTTAGTGCGGGACCTTTAACGTTTGTACAGCGTCTAGTTGCGGGACAGGTGGGCAGTTTAAAGTGCTTTATTTTGAATAGTCTAAATTTTAATTGCGCAAAATAGAAGGTTTAAAATCAATGCCGAATGAATATTACTTAAAATAGCACTTAAAAGAGGAGGGGGTGTATGTTAGTTTAGATTTTAACTCTTAACCACCCCCCCCCAGATTTTAGCCCCACAAAACCAGCTACTACCGTTTTCAAGTAAAACGTTAATTTTCTGAGGCTGCCACGTTTCCTATACCCTCTGTCCCACTGCTGTGTTTGCTGATTAAAGACCTCTGCGAAACACGAAGTCTTGCGCATTTTTGTTACCATTTTTTTTTTTTGGGAGGGGTCCAGAGACCACGCAGGCGAGCAGCACGGCGCTCAGGGCGCGTCCTTGGGGAAATACCCCGCAAAACACCCGGTGTACGGAGCACTAAACCCGCCCGAAATACTAAAACCGAGCGAGGTGATCCGCAGGTCCCCGCGGCGGGGGGCACCG